ACTACTTCACATTGTTAAAAACTGTGAGCTGTATGCAGTATACACAGTGTGCAGTATTTGTATAAGAGTTTCAGCTGTTCATATCTTCATATTCATATCTCCCTCTAGTGGTTTACTGTGATTCTGGCGATCTCCTTTGAGGCCATTTAAATGTATAATTTCAGGGCTATTTTTCATTACTATTGCACAAGCAGGTTGCATCTGTACAGTAAACAAAAAAGAGCAAACACACAAACTGAACCAGCATGCAAAGAAACATGGAAATAAACAAAAGCTTTGTTTCTGGGTTTGAAAACCATGGTTTTGATTATCTCTGAAGGATTAAATCCACAGGATTATCCCTATTTCCTTCTACTGGGCTGCCAGAAGATTAGGAATATGGCTGGAAAACATAAATGCATCACTGCCCATTGGCTTTAGCTCAGTTGATGGCATTGCATCGAGAACACCTATAACATTTTAGTCCTGACTTTAAAGAGACGGTGAACATATTCGAGTTAACACGACGACTCAAGTGCACTGCTCTTAAAGGGATAGTTCACTCAAAAATAAACATTCTGTAATCATTTACTCACTCGTGTTCCAAATCCATATGACTTTCGTTAATCTTCACAAAGGAAGATATTTTTTAAAGGTGCAATGTGTAATAATTTTGAGTATCTATTAACAGAAATGCAATATGACATCCATAACTATGTTTTCAGAGGTGTATAAAGAACTTACTTAATAAACCGTAATGTTTTTATTACCTTAGAATGAGACATTTATATCTACATAACCGCGGGCACCCCCTTCTATGAACGTCGACATATTGTGACGTCATGTTTCTACAGTAGCCGAACGCGAACAAACAGAGCTACAGAGCGCGTTTCGTTCATACCTTGAAAGAGAAGCCGCAGAAACCTAGAAGCTAGCCATAGACACCGTGAGTAGTGACTTTTCCCTTGTCAGTGGTGTAAAATATGTAGTTGGACTGTTTCATGTAACTTAGTTCTTCTCCCTCGCAGTGTTATGGCTTTGCTATGTGGGGATAAATGTGCTGGTTACGTTCGTGAGACAGCTGATTAGTACTCTTGTCATTGACCGTAAAACAGTAACGTTACAGGAATCACCAACCCGTCGATCGCGGTCGACAAGTCGATCTTGGAAGCATTTTAAGTCGATCGCGAAGAGTTTTCAAAATCAGAGAAAAAAGCCTATTGAGTGTAGTAAATGGTGTCTAGTAGGGGTGGAACGGTACATGTATTCGTATTGAACCGAAACGGTACGGGCGTCACGGTTCGGTGCACGAATTTGCACGCAGAATACACGGTACAAATTAAAAAAACCTCTTAAATAGCGATGAATTTCGCTCTATTCGCTTTTGGTGTGACTGTGAACGCAGCAATGAACAGGCTGCGATCAAGATTGCAATGCAGGAGTGTGTGTGTGTGTCTGTGTGCGCGAGAGAGAGAGAGAGAGAGAGAGAGAGAGAGAGAGAGAGAGAGAGAGAGAGAGAGAGAGAGAGAGAGGCGCGATGAACAGTGTGTGTGTGTGCGAGAGAGAGAGAGGCGCGATCGAACAGTGTGTGTGTGTGTGTGTGTGCGCGCGCGTGCGAGAGAGAGAGGCGCGGTGTGTGTGTGTGTGTTCGCGCGCGCGAGAGAGAGAGGCGCGGGCGCGAATCGCGCGATGAACAGTGTGTGTGTGTGTGTGTGTGTGCGCGCGCGTGCGAGAGAGAGAGAGAGAGGCGCGGGCGCGAATCGCGCGATGAACAGTGTGTGTGTGTGTGTGTGTGTGTGTGTGTGTGTGTGTGTGTGTGTGAGTGTGTGTGAGAGAGGCACGGGCGATCGAACAGTGGAAACGTAAAAACATACTCCGTCATTTTTTTCATACAGGACATCATTAAAACTGCAAATTGTTTACTTATATTTGTGTACACTCGCAATAAAACACAACATTGTGCTTTTGTCACACTCTAAACTCTTGTCAAACTGTAACCTACACCTGTTAACAAAAGTTTTTATGGTAGTATTATTTTATACGGAAATCAATTATTTATAATTCAGATGAGAATAAAGTTAGTTAATTAAAATGAAGGAAAACAAATATCTTGATCTGAAATAGCAAATTAATTTTAAATTCATTCAGGTACAATTACCAAACATATCTCAAGGTCTTTTCGTCTTTTTAATAATTTAATTAATAAACTAATTATATAAAACTACTGTCAGTGCACTACAAATAAACTGGTTCTATGCCTTTATTAATAAAACTTATTTAAAAAAATACAAGGCTTAAGACATTTATAAAAATGCCTTCTGCATTTTTGCTTTGCTTTTCACTCCCTTGTACCGAAATCGTACCGAACCGTGATGTCTGAACCGAGGTATGAACCGAACCGTGACTTCTGTGTACCGTTCCACCCCTAGTGTCTAGGGGATGCGGAGGCGCGCGGGCTGTTACAATCACGTCATTTTTGCCTCGCGCACCTTTGGGCTCATATCATGCGGACGCGTCGAGTTTAAACAAGGCTTAACGCTTTAACCAGCTCAGCCACAGTAAAAGCTCATATTAGCCAGCTAAACTTTTACTACCCTGTTAGAAAACATATATAGTTGCATATTTTCATGTGGTTCTTCTCCCTCGCTGTATTATGGGTTTGCTATGTGGGGAGAAATGTGCTAGTTACGTTTGTGAGACAATCAGCTGATTACTATTATTATATTATATATTAAGACCCTTGATCCTCACCTGACTATGGCTTTGTAAACTTTATTCATGATGTGGTTTATAATGGACTGTGGTACAGAAATAGTGACAATGTTACACACTCTTGGCTTACTCTGGCTATTCTCTGCTGTCTCCAGACGACAATATGTTTGTCCCATTTTAGCCACCGTAGCTTCTTCGAAAGGGAGGGGTGAGCAGTGGGCTGAGCCCTTAGTGCAAACTCGCAACCGAACCGCTAGATGTCGCTAAAAATCACACACTGCACCTTTAATGAAATTAAAGATGGATTTCTGTTCCCCCATTGAAAGTTTATTCCCCCCAAACTTTGATGCTTCAATACATTCATAAAGAAATCGTAAAATAAATCCATATGAATTAGGCAGTTTAATCCAAGTCTTCTGAAGAGACATGGCATCTTAATGGTCCGTGTATCTTCTGGTAATTTGATTTTTGTTTTAGAAAGAGAATTTTAAAAATGAAAAAGGACCGTTGTTTTAATTGTCATCTAATACTCCATAATCAAATGACGGAAAAATAAGCCGTTTCCACTTTTTTTCCTGATGCACGGAAGTGAAAGTCAAGAAGAAACTAAAACAGAAAAATGCTTTTATTTTGTAATGTTTGAATGCTGAACCACAGAGCCATTACGTCACAGCAATTTCAGGCCAGCGCCAGGCCAGCTGTTTATGCAGTCTAAAGAGTTGCGCTAAACGCAGTGGCCATCTGTAGAGCATTATTTGTCAAGTGTAATATTACAAATACATATAGCGTAATATGTTTTTATTTCGCGCGGATATAATCAACAGCAGCTATTTCTATGAATGCAACGTGCGGCACAGTTGCTGATTCGCGCTGATAAGTCGTTCATACTGCGCGGCGGTTTGTCTCATTTCAAGAATGATTATTTATAAGAACAACATAGTCTTGTGATCTGTGGATAAACAATTTCTACAAAATGAAATGATGATGGCAAGGATAGCTATTAAACCGAGCCGTAGGCTTATAATGCTTGGTGTGTCTTTAGTGCTCCATACACTTAGGTGCTATAGCTCCGAGTCCAGCTAGTCAACATACATGCATTCAAAAGAGCAGTTTGGAGTGCCCTCTATCATTACACAGATGAACAGCAATAATATTCTATACTAGCTTCCACACACACACACAAAAAACTCTATGATCCCATTAAAAGATGATGTTGTTTTTAGACTTTTGAAAATAGCATTAATGCAAGCATGTTTGTCACCCTCTGCGAGTTGTGTGGAGAATAGACATAGAGCATAGATGCCTCATTGGTGGCTTTCTATGGGCTGCCATACGTAAGCCGTCCGCCACATTGGAATGGTCAAAAGACCTGTCCGAGAGGATTCAACTACAGGTTGACTCAGCGTATGCAACCGTAGTCAGGGTCCGAAATTAACTTTTTGGCTCACCTGCCATGAAAAAATGATAAAGATGAAAAAATCCACCAGCCAAGCATATTTTTTACCGGCCAAAATAATAAACAGCCTTTTTGTGTCACATATACATTAATTTATATATAGGCTATATTTAAACATTTTTTTCATTATATTTCTGGTCTATTATTTTCCATTCTTACTTTTATTTACACACATATTACACAATTTACACACATTAACATTTTTGTGGTGGTGCCTATGAAAATAGTTCTGTACACGTGAAATTTATTAATTGTACATTTAATAAAATGTTTGCAATAATAATATATTATAATTATTTCAAAAAAATATTTAGTTTTAAACTAACTATTTTTTTACTCCATTTACTCTGACTGATCCGATCAGTAACTGTTAAGGACTGGAAAAATCAGTTGTTTTAACCATTCATTAAAATGAATCGGTTCAAAGGAGTCATTGGTTCGCGAATTGGACGTGTCATTATCGGATGTGTTCGCGTTGTGTGATAATCCCACAACTCCGTCATGTCCGTAGCCATCATGGCAGATATTTTATAACGATACAAAATGCAATTGTAATAAACATTTTATTACATTACTGTTTTGGTATGAACATTCACCCGCCAGTGTGGCGGATAGCCTTTTGAGATTTACTCGCCAAACGGAAAATCTACCCGCATTTGGCGCTTGGCGGGTGTTAATTTCGGACCATGACCGTAGTTAGATGTATGTGTGAAAGGTTATCCCATTTCTTCGGGAACTTAATTCTACACAATGTTGTGGCTTCATTGATTCTTATCGTGAGCGATGACGCTGACCGTTCCAAGATGGCGGTCGAATGTAGTGTCTATGTATTCATATCTATGGTGAGGAGTACCTGAAGTCTGGGATCCCTGTGGACGTGCTGATTCCAGCTCCTGAATGCACCACCATGTACTGCGACTCCTTGATCCACTGGGCCAGTGTCTCCACTTTAGTCTTCAACTCCTCTGGGCTGTCAAACACCTGCAAACACACACACACACTGATCAGAGACAGTGACCAGCTCTGCTGTAACATCTAGTGAGTGGTGTCACATATACAAAATGTAGATAGACTGCTTTAAATATTTATTTTTTCATATGATATAGTGCACTATTATACTGTAGGCCTGCTTTTTAATTGACTTAGCCGTTTACACCAAGAAGGTTAACTATATTAGCGTCCACAACAGAGGACGATAATCGTTCTGTTTATTCTAAGCGCGTGCTCGTCTGCCGCTTTAAATGCTCGAGCTCGTTACAGCAGGATGTATTCTGATTGGCTGTCAAAGTTTTTATTATTTATCATCTGGATAAAATCGTTCTGAAAGTGATTCCAACGATCTCGTTTCTCTGTGCCATTATCGTTATAGCTGTCGTGAGAACGATTTTAGAACTAACTTAACGTTATATCTTTTTCGATATCGTCATTGGTGTGAACGGGCCTTTAATCTTTATTGACATGTGTAAACATGCATTTAGAAAAAGTATGCATAAGTTATATGAGCTATAATCGAATTATCTATATTATATATAAATTATATATATATATTTTATTATTATATAATATAATTTACACTTGACTTGACATTAACGCGCTATGTTGCTTGGCAACGATAAACAGCAGTACTGTCGGGCTAGCGAACTGTTACCTCGTAATTATTAAAAGCAAAATCTATTATTCATTGACCACAGGTGACTTTTATCATATTAATACAGTTTGCACTTCACTGTGGCAAAATAAAATGAACACACGAGCTCTCATTTCTTTCTTTACTATTACCATGTGAATTAATTCACGAACTGCTGAATGTTTTTGTTCAGTATTATTTGGTAACGTTAACTATGAAGTTATGAAGCATACAATGGTCCTACCCACGTGTGTCTGAAAAAGCTTTCAGTGCAGAAAAATAGTACATTTCAGAAAGCAAACAACAAATTTGACGCTAATGTGCACTAAATGAAGCTAATTCTAGCTAGCCGGCTAATAGCTACAAATGTAAAGATCACCTCCGGGAGGCCGCAGATGCCTTTATCCGCATATGGAGAAAGTCCCGCGGCGTAATTCACCGACATGGCTAACTTTCTTATTAAAAGGTAAGTTAAAATGTGTCGGTAAAAGCAAGAGTTTACTGTCCTTCCGTTCAATCGGTTTTGTGTGTTGGTCCTCCGTGTGACGTCACGAATGTGTGTGTTCTGCGTGGAGTGCTGCTGTGCACATGCTGGATTACGTCAGTGAGATTGTGTGCAGGTAATAGACCTAAAAGAGCCTTGTTCCAAATATATGTTGATTTGTGATTTCATATAAGGGGCTTTTTTTTTTTTTTTTAAGATTATATTGTTTAGAAAACGGCTCCTTTGTCCCTAGTTGATAGGTTATCTAAAAATTAAGTCTTAGTCATAAAATGTATACCCTGCTAAACAGCATTTCAAATGTAATGACTTCTTAACAGATGCCATGAAACTGCTGGTCAGTTGATTTGTTATTGCCAATTTGTATGATTTCACTGGATTGTCTGTGACTAAACAAGTGTATAGGCCTATATATATATATGATAAACTTTATGATTCTGTTGGGTAGATCATATCTTTAAACACTAATAAAAATGATCTACAGTTGTTTTATTAATAATACTGTCTGTCAGTGTCATCCATCCATCCTGTCTGTCTGTCTGTCTATCTATCTATCTGTCCATCTATCTATCTAGTCTATCTATCTAGTCTATCTATCTAGTCTATCTATCTATCTATCTATCTATCTATCTATCTATCTATCTATCTATCTATCTATCTATCTATCTATCTATCTATCTATCTATCTATCTATCTATCTATCTATCTATCTTTTTGATTATTTTAATTTATTTATTCTATAACCTGTTTTAATTATTGTTATTTCTTTTTATTTTTTTTATTTCTTCTATGTAAAGCATTTTGAATTACCATTGTGTTTGAAATGTGCTGTATAAATAAACTTGCCTTGCCTTGCCTTGCCTATCTATCTATCTATCTATCTATCTATCTATCTATCTATCTATCTATCTATCTATCTATCTATCTATCTATCTATCTATCTATCTATCTATCTATCTATCTATCTATCTATCTATCTATCTATCTATCTATCTATCTATCTATCTATCTATCCTGACCAATTAATACTAGCACTTAACTTTTCTATTCTGTACTAATCTATTTTTATTTGTTTTTCTGTTAAAAAAAAACCTTGCTATGTGTAGGCTACTGTGCAATGAACTGAGACTTGTTACGCCACTTGTACACTGTTGTCATCGCTTTGGATAAAAGCGTCTGCTGAATGATTAGATGTAAATGTAAATCCATCTATCTATCTGTGCAGTTGACTATTCGTCGGCAGATGGCGCTACGGGGCCGCGCATGTGAGTCGTGACCGCGCTCTGCTCTCATCTCCTCCTCCTCCTCCAGGTGCGGGGGGTGAGCTTGACATGTTTCGAATAGAAAGCGAGCGTCTCGTTTCCAGCTGAGCGCGTACTCTCTCCCGGCGCGTGTGCGTGCGTGTGTATGTTGTTATTATTATCGCGCTCTCCGCCGCGCGCAGAATGGCTAGATTCACCCAGACTGAAGCGAGGAGGCAGCAGCAGCAGCAGCAGCAGCATCAGCATCCTCAGCATCCTCATCCTCAGCCTGCCCACGCCAGCCTGCTTCTCACCGGACCGGGGGCGGTACCGAGCCAGGCAGCGGCACCACTGCTCCTGTTCCCGCACCCGCACCAGCCCCAGTACGCGCACATCACCTTCCCCAAGCCCATGAACGGCTCAGAGCCCATCTCCATCCACCCCGACAACGGCACCATGAAAGACCAGGATGCCATCAAGCTCTTTATAGGACAGATCCCGCGCAACCTGGAAGAGAAGGACCTGAAGCCTCTTTTCGAACAGTTTGGAAAGATCCACGAACTGACTGTCCTCAAGGACCGTTACACCGGCATGCACAAAGGTAATGATGCTTTTGAATATGCTAGGTGTTGAGGGCTTTGGCCACACGGATAACCTTTTTTTATGCATTATGGGGTATGTGTTAGTGTTAGGAAAATATGTGTTTCCTCGTCATTGTTGAACGCTGCTTACTTGTAAACTGTAAACTGTAAATGTTCTTCTGTTGCGCATATTTATTACGGTATTTACGCGCAGAGCGCATTCTTCTTTTTCACTCACAACACTCTACGATTGCAAATGATTGACATCTGACAGCGTGCGTTAATAGAATTCAAACCTGTCTCTTTCTGTCATTTTAAGACTAACAGACTATTTTCATCCAGTGCACTGATGCATTGTGATTTCGTATTTGCCCACCCATATGTGATAGAAAACATACGCGTTTACATTACTGTTTATGAACGTCATACTTGTTCAGTTGCATGCATTTGTTCTTTACACGCTGTGTGTATAGGCTATCCCTGTCTTTACATTTTAACTCATTGTTCTTCCTTATGCACAGTCGGATTGCAACCGCTGTTAGATGTTATTCTAATCTAAAGCTCACTTTCAAATTCAAAGAAAATCAAATTTCTCTTGTACATATTTATTCATCATGCACACTGTGTATTCTTTTCCAAGCCACATTTTCCTCTCATTACCCTCCCTCACAGTGTTTTTAAGCACAGTCAGTACAATTGCAACTGATTTTCATCAGAGCATGCTGTCAGATGTCATTCAAACCTCCCTCTGCCACTCTTTTTAGAGTAACATGCTATTTCTCATGATGCGTTGTGTTTTTGTGCTGGTCCACCCTGTGCAGCATTATGCAATTTAAGATATGCGATAGAAAAACATGATCGTTTACTTAAAATATAAGCGGCGAATTTGTTCTTTTGCACGTACGCTCATTCCTTATGCACAGTGTGGAGGCTATTTGTGTCCGTCAGTATGACTGCAACTGATTTCCATCAATGCATGCTGTCAGATCAGATGTCATTCAGACTCCTCTTGTCCTGACAGATTTCTCTTTTAGAGTATCTATTCCTTATGCAGTACACTAATGCATGGTGTTTTTCTGCTTGTGTTCACCCTGTGTACTGTGTCATGACAATAAAAAGGATGCTGGATGTACTGTGGTCACTCCCACTTGTGTATCATCTCATATTTTCGTGTGTGCTTGCAGAAGTAGGGCAGTCCCTCTTTGCGCGCAGATGATGCATACTAAGAGCTCCCAGTGTGCCATGTGAAATGAAACATTCGGTGTGATGTTTCTCATTCACAGCAAAAGTGAACCTTGCATTACACGTTAATTTATGCATTCAAAGAAATCAAAAACCCACAAATGTTCTATGCTCCTTTGTTTGTCATTTGAGCATCATTTGAGCATTATTTTTTTCCATATTCCCAAACAAAGTCTCATCCAAATTTATTCGGCAAGAGGCATTAGGGCATGATGCTTCAAAGTAGGTGGTTTGGATTCGTGTAATGATTTTATTAATTTATTGTTTTAAAGGTGCATTCTTAAAAATAAAGGTTCCAAAAGGGGGGTTTCACAGCGGTGCCATAGAAGAACCATTTTTGGTTTCCCAAAGAACCTTTCAGTGAACAGTTCTTAAAATAATCATTTTTCCTTAGTGTGAAGAACATTTTAATAATCTAAAGAACCTTTTTTTTCACTATAAAGAACCTTTAGTGATTCCATGGATGTTTCTTCATAGAACCACCAATGGCAATAAAGAACCTTTATTTTTAAGAGTGTAGGCCAGAAGATAAAGAATTTAATATTATTTTATACTCAGTCAAAGCACCTAATTGCAAACAGTCAAATCTAGGGAAAAAAGAGTCAATAGTTGCCCTACAGTAAGAGTAAAGAGCTATAAAATAAATGTGGCAAGCATCTCAGATCATTTGATTGTGGATGAAATGTTTAAGTTCATATTGAGATCTCTGACATTTTTGAGATCTCTTCTGAAATTCTAGAAGAGGCACATCTGAGACATCTTTGGGTCTTTCAGGATAAAAATAAATAAAAATGTCTCATTTTGCATTTAACCTCATTGTCTAAGAGAAACAAATGAAATTAATTTTTTTTTAATTTCATGTAGGGATCGATACTGAATATTATGGAAGCTTGTTTTTGCACTGAATAAAAATTAAAAAGGGTAATTGCGAGTTTTATCTAACAAATCTGACTTTTTTCTCGCAATTGCGAGTTTACATCTCGTGAGTTGTGAGATTGTGAGTTATAATTATATAAATGTGAGTTATAAAGTCGCAATTGTGAGATTTAAACTCGCAATTGTGCGTTTATATCCTGCAATTATAACTCGCAAATGCAAGTTTTTATCTCGCAATTTTGAGACAAAAAGTCAGAATTGTGAAATAAAAAGTCAGATTAGCCTATCTTTTAAAATGTTTTTTTTTTTTCGTGGCGGAAACAAGCTTCCATAAAATATATATTGTATTATATGTAAAATATATATTCCTGTACTTTTTGTAATGCTTAGAATAGTGCTAGCAATAGTACAGAAAATATTCCTCGATTTCTCTCTAGTTTTACGCAGGTCATCTCACTTGACTGAAGCTCAAATTTGATTTGAGAGCAGTGCTAGAGGGATATAATTCATGTCATATGCATTTTAAACAGACAGTTTTTGCCCAGGTTTTCTGTGATTATTTCATTTATTAGTGAAAGAAAACTTAGTCCTCTAATTCAGTAAAAACGTCATATTAATTGAACTTGAAAACCCATTTAAAACAACATACTCCTCTGTGAGTATCTGCGCCCCCCTCTCCTCTTCTGCTCGAAATATTCCCTTTCTGTCACGCTCAGAGGCACACACATGCTCACACACACACCGCACAAATGAATAATGGTTTATGCCCATAGGAGGGTGCGAGAGGGAGGATGAATCAGCGTAGGAGGCCTGTCACACACACACACACACACACACACACACACTCTCTCTGTTGACTGCTGTCTCAGTGGGACGTTATTAGTACAGTGGCGTTAGATTATCATTTACATTGGCATTAAATTACTGCTATGAAATGTGGTTTTTAAGTGTGCAAGACAATAGGCTGAGGGTGAAATCAATGGAAAACAGCGTTAGATGCACATTTCAATTACTCTTTTTCACAACACTTTTGAAAACATAGCCTAAGCTAGCTTACGGTGGTTCACTGGCCTTAACTGGTTTATGCTTGTTTACCGGGTATCCACCCTGAATAGC